AGTGGAACTTTATTACTCACTCCTGGCTGCTCCTTATTCTCCTTCAGAACGTTGGTTACCTGACGCACTTTGAAACCAAGCGTCGCTAGTTCTTCTTTTATCACTTCAGTTGGGGTTGAAGAGTGTAAATTTCTTACCACCACTCGTAGCGATCTCTCCTGTTTCAGCTGGCACGTGTGGAAATTTGCATTCGTTTCTGACAGGTACTTCACAATGTTTCGGTAGGTTTCTGCAGTATCTGGTGTTATTTTTGTATCGTTGGTCCTGTTGAGGCAAGAATAACTGCCGGAGAAGATTTCGTTTAGTTGTGTACACAGTAGTTGAAAATTTTTGATATTTTTTACAAATATCGGAGGAGGCCTTGGTTCCCTGGGTACTGCTGCTGACTCCATCACTTCTCTGTCATTATGAAGCACTTGGAACGGGTTTGGATTGAAGAAAGGAGATTCTTCAACCATTTCTTGCGAAGAGGTACCTGGTTGAGGCTGAGGTTCTGTATCTGAAGTTTTCACTATGGTTATTGGAGCTATTTCTCGCAGGCAGCGACGAGTTTTTTGTTTCACTGGTGAATCACGAGGGGTACTAACGCCGTCTGACCGAGTCCTCCCAGTGGGCACCTTACTGGACATCACTGGCTGACAATGCCGCATATCATAAGAGAAAAAAAATTAAAAAAAATAAAATGTAGCAAACTGTAAATAACAACTGCTCTGGTGTACAATTCAACTGTATTCAGTAAATAATCAAAGAGATTCCGCTGAAAAATAGGCAACAACTGAGAGAAGATTTCAGAACACGTTCTTCGCATCAGCTGATCCACTGCCTTCCACATTTAATTAGCTGTCTCAATAACCTCATACAGCCCCTCTTCAGTCTTCTACAACAGCTATCTCAGGCTACTCTCGCTCTTACCCAAAAATATGTCCCGTAATCAGACGACTGTGGGCTCCATGTCTATTATACTATGGAACGCAAACGGACTGAATCAACATAGAACCGAACTAGACATATACTTACACGAGAAACGCATTGACATTGCACTAATAACAGAAACACATCTGACACCACATTCTAAATTTTACATCCGTGGTTACAAAACCTACAGAACTCACCACCCAGACGGAACTTCACATGGAGGCACTGCCATAATTATCAAAACAACTCTAAAACATAATCCTTTACAATTACCCATAACACCAGAGATTCAAGCTACAGCCATTACACTATCAATACAACAACAAAACATTACTCTTGCTGCGGTTTATTGCCCTCCGAGGTATGTTCTGATACCCACATTGTTTAGTAATTTCTTTAAACGTCTTGGTAGATGCTTTGTTGCAGGAGGCGACTACAATGCCAAAGATCAGTTCTGGGGATCCAGACGATCTACTCCAAGAGGAAGGAATCTTAGGTATGTTCTTTATGAGCTTTCATTAGACACAATATCACCTAATTCACCAAGGTACTGGCCAACTTCCAGATGGAAAACACCAGACTTACTCTGTTTTTTCATAACTAAAGGACTCCGAACAACACCTCACACCATAACAACGAGTTCAGATCTTTGCTCTGATCATTCCCTTTTGCATTTGGTATTGTTTGAAGAGCCTTGCTAAGCTACAAAAAAACTGATCAATTGCATAATGGATTGGGACAGGTACAAGAACCAATTGGACACTGCTCTCTCTGTTTCTCTATCCGTTAAAAACAAAGAAGAACTTTAGGATGCCGTTGAATACTTCACACGAAATATCCAAGAAGCAGCATGGTCTTCATCAGTAGCAAAACCTCAAAAATATGAGTTCCTACCAATGTACCCACAATACACAAGGGACTTGATCAGAGCGAAGAGGAGAGCTCGCAAAATATGGTAGACTGACAGACTCCCATCAGATAAACGATCTTACATCAGACTTAATAATGAACTCAAACGACAGATTGGAAATTTCAAACGAACAACCTATGACAACTACATCAGAAATCTCTCAACCGACGATGGAAGCTTATGAAGACGTACCAAAAACCTTATTAAGCATCGTGAAGTGTCAGCACCCCTTCGAAGAGAAGATGATTCCTGGGCCGTGACGGACGGAGAAAAATCAGAACTCTTAGCCGAATATCTTTCTTCTGTTTTTGTACCACACACAGACTTCACTAACACTGTGCACGATAACAATGTACTAAACACTTTAGACGTGCCCTTAAAACTAACTTCACCTCTTATTTCATTCACACCTTCCCAGATTGCTGAACAAATCAAAAAGTTGCCTAAAAGAAAAGCTCCTGGATATGACTTAATTAACGCTGAAGTGCTCCAACAAATGCCTAAAAAGCTCTAGTGCTTTTGACAACTGTTTATAATGCAATAATGAGGACAACTCAATTTCCACTACAGTGGAAATACTCACATATAATAATGATTCAAAAGCCTAACAAGGACAAAAACTCACCTCCCTCATACCGACCAATCAGCTTACAACCTATCTGTTCCAAAATTTTTGAAAGCTTACTGAACAAAAGACTTGTTGATATACTAACAAACATCCAAATAATACCTGACCATCAATTTGGATTTAGGGCACATCACTCAACTGTACACCAACTACAGAGAGTAACGGACTACATATCTACAGCACTAGAGCAGAAAGTATATGCAACTGGCGTATTTCTGGATGTTGCTCAAGAGTTTGACAGAGTTTGGCACCAGGGTCTTCTCTTTAAACTTAAGACAATACTCCCACCTACATATTATCTAATTCTACAATCCTTCCTTTCCGATAGATTTTTCTCGGTCCGACACGGGTCAGAACTATCTTCCATCAGGTCTATCTCAGCAGGAGTACCTCAAGGATCAGTACTCGCTCCACTACTCTATATCACATACACCCATGACATACCTTGTAATCCCAACATTTTAACAGCGACATATGCAGACGACACAGCAATTTTAGCAAGACACAAAAATCCAACACACGCCCTACAACAGTATTTAACAAGATTACATGACTGGTTCGAAATTTAGAAAATCCGACTAAATCAAGACAAATCACAGCACATCACATTTACGCTTCGACATGAAACATGCCCTCCAGTTTTCCTTGACAATACACAGATTCCACAGACAGACACTGTTCACTACCTTGGTCTGACATTTGACAGAAAAATGACGTGGGCCCCACATATAATCAAAAAACGAAAAACGTTAAATCAAAGATTAAGAATTCTGAGTTCACTTCTTTCGAAAAATTCAAAACTAAAACTGAACACATACAATTACTTACTAAAACCTATTTGGACTTACGCATCACAGATATTTGGAACTGCTAAAAAGACTCACTTAAACAAACTTCAAATCTTTCAAGCAAAAACATTCAGAACAATTACAAAAGCACCTTGGTACGTTAGCAACATAACCTTACATACTGACCTCCATATGCCGACTGTTAACGAACACATACGTACTCATTACAAACGATTCCATGAGAACTTACAAGGACATCCTAATACACTTATAAATGACATGGCCACTACGAATATGCCAGGTAACGTCTGTAGAAGACTGAAGAGGAGCTGGATGAGGGACCTCCTCGCCTAATGTAGATATCACGCCGAGTGAGGTGCCGCTGGGCACTGATCCTCCTCATGCCTTTCATGAAATTATATTTAGCAGCAATCGATCTCACATTCATTGGTTGTCATTACCATTATGACAGGTGTGAATAAAACATTAAAGCTAAAAAAAAAAAAAAAGGACGAACCGCTATTATTCTTGTTCATTTTATAATGATAATTACCAAAACCTCAAGTTACCGCAGCTGACTTTTGTATTCATCATTAGAAAAGGGTTTAAAGAACAGTTTGATTACAGTGAGACATTGGCGGTCGTTGGCACGAGGTACTTTCCGATGGAAAAACGAAATTCCAGGATCTGTTAAGTGATAACTAACCCTATGAAGATAAGATTTTTTTAAATTTATTAACAAATAACTTATTTAAGAACTTATTTGACTTATTTCAAAAAATTACACAACAAAAAATATTTTGAGCAAAATATTCTGAAAAAACTAAAATATATTTAATGATTTATAAAAAGTTGTATTATTAATGTGGTAGGAACTAGCTTTTTATTTTATTGAAAATCTTGGAAACTGGTATTTTTATTTATTTTTTTTATTATTTTTTATTTTATTATTTTTATTACGTGCCCAAGCTTAAGGAATTTATGAGAAAACTCTGTCAGACATTAAAAATTTAGAAATTTGAATTATCATAATACTTTGAAAGTAGAGGTTTCTGTCGCTCTCAGACCACAGACTGTCCGCCTAGTTAGAAAACCAAAAAGGGAAAAAGATAGAGTCAAAAACCAAATGATATCTAATTTTTTATTTATTTTTTTATAGCGCTTTCCAACTCTCTAACCAGATGTCACGTCAAAATATAAATTTTAATAATAGCATATTACAAAGACAATGAAATGCTGAACATCTCCGTTGTTTACAGATTGCCAGTTCAAATTTTAATTCTTCAGATATTTTAATCCAAATGACCATAAAAACTGTTTTTTGTCACTTTCTTTTTCCGTTTTGAACTCTCTAACACTACATCAGGTCAAAATAAAATTTCGAATAATAGGTCATTACGGAGAGGATGAAATGGTGAACATTTCCCTCAGTTGCAGTACTGCTCACCAAGCAAGTGGTAAAGGCCCCAAAACAAGTTTTCACTTCAATAATTTTGAACGTTCTAATAAATTTCTTTCTTTTAACTCCAGTTTTTTAGTGTGGTAACAAACTATTTTTTATTTTCATTGTGTATCAATACATTTTTTTTATTACGGAAAACAAACACATTTAAGTGATACAGTAAGAATTATTACTGAAGTATGTAGAAATTATTTCATAATAATTAATATATTAAGGTATACAAATTTATTCTAAAATAATCATCTATGTAGTTGTATTGGAGTTTCGAAGTTGCACGATTGGAATTCATTTTTACAGGGATCGGATTGACAGATTCGCCAGCTGGTTTTGCTGCTATGATGATCGATAGAATCGCAACACTCTCAAACTATGGTATGAAAAATCGTTCCGATGGGGGGCTGGAATCATTTGATAAAAATGAACTGCTTGACACCATCATGACATACTGGCTTACAAAAAGCATCACACCGTCCGTCCGATGGTGGAAAGAGACATTCTTGTTGAAGGATACCGCGTATATGAAAGGTACAATAACTTGGTAAGTCGAAATTGATAATCTCATTTCACAACTAGACTCTACATTTTTTATTATTAATTTTTCTGGCTATTCTCAACATTTTTGATTCGTTAATTTTAATAATGAACCATTATAATCGACCAAAAAATTCAAAATCTTAACCCCATAAGAAGAATTTAATTAAATATAGTTAAGAATCAGTCAAAATACTTTTCAGGATAGTTTTACTTTTCAGGATACGTAGAACTTGAAAATCAAATAAAATAAAATATTGTCCATCAGCCGTCTCTGACTTTTCTCCGAAACTACTGCACCAAAAATATGTTTCGAAAAGCTACGAAATAAATATCACTCAGCTAATCCTCCTCTATCGAAATATAATTGGTGTTCTCACCTAAAAGTTTTGCTAGTGGGGAAGGAAATCTAGTGTATGAAACCAACCCAGCCATAATCAGAACAAATATTAACAGGATATTAAATAAATACAAACAACGTTTGCAAGACGGAGACAGAATAACATTGCATAGCTCATCTTATAGTGAACATTCAAACTTTTTTTATACTGATCAGATTCCCAAGTGTTTGTTGATACCGACTAATTTCAAATATACAAAACTATTAATGCAGATCCGTTTCTCCGGAAAATATATGACCAAGATTTCTGTTAATAATAAAATTGTGAAAATTACTCCAAAGCTTTTGTGCAAAATGTGCAACACTAAAGAAAAGGAAACACTTTATCATATATTATTTAAATGCCCAATTTACAGTACTTTAAGGGTAAGAATTTATCAGGGTATGAAAAATCTTGATGGTATATAAATATTTAAGCCAACCAGTGCAGAAGACATGAGAAAATTATATTTTTTTTATCTCAATTATATCAAATTATAGAGAATTGGTAGGGTAATCTTGAATATTATCCTCCGCATAATATGGCAAAAATTCCATATTGTAAATCAGCATGTAATCTGGCCGGGTATTTTTCTTGTCTGTTTTCTTAGGTATAGGGGTAATCTTTTAATTTAATTTTAAAGCATAGTTTAATATTATTTAAAAAATGTGTATTTATTGTTTTTATTGTTATATGTGTATTTATTTATGTATATTGTGGACAATTTTAGATTTTATATGAGCTGTCTGACCTTCAACGAATATAATTTTTAATTTATGATTAAGAGTGTTGTACAGTATAGAAAGCAATTTGTATTTCCATAGGGATAATGATGTTTGTTATTTTGTGATAGACTCCATTTGTATAAGGTTCTTCCCTTAAAACAAATAAAGATTGATACTTAATACTGCACCAAATCTGAAATTATAGTCAGAGGTCTCCCAACGATGATCCTCCTACGTCGACATTGCAATCCGCTCTTTCCTTTCAAGATGGTTTGTTATAGATTGTAGCACCTAAACGAATATACTGATTCCAACGAAGCTTGGCTAAAACCTTCTCGATGACCTTTAAATAAAGTTATGAGTAAATGAAAAAAGTTACGAAGGATGGTCAAATTGGATTTCCGAATAACCCAACAAGTATTCACTATTTTGTGATTTTTATAATCAGATGTTTCAAATTGAATATTTAGTAGTTGACCGTTGCATTATAAAGGGAGAAGAGATCCGGACCATCTGACTGTTTTTGAGACAGGAATTGGAATAGGAGGGTTTTGAATTTAGATAAGGATGAAGAATGTCGAATTTTGATAGGAAGGAAATTCCAGAAACTAACAGAACGAGCAATAAAGGAGTTTTGGAACGAGGCAGATCTGTGAGAAGAAATGTAAAGGTCGGAAGGTCGAGATCTTGTGGAGAGGGAGTGGACTGAGGACTTGAATTGGAGAAGATTGTAAGCGTAGGAAGGACGATGATTGTTGATGATATGATAGAGGAATGTACCTAGGAAATATTGTCTTTGAATGGAGGGGAAGAGCCACTCTAACTCAGTGTAGTGGTGAGAGACATGGTAATATCTCGGGGCACCAATTACAAATCTCACGCAACTGTTCATTAATCTTTTCAGTCTGGCACGGAGCTCCACCGAGAGTCCATCATACACCACAAAACTGTAGTCAAAGTGGGAGAAGATGAGAGAGGAAACGAGGAGTCTACGCGTATGTTGAGGTAGGAGATGGCGGAAGCGATGGAATAGTTTGAGGGTAGAAACTGTCCGTCGGGAGATGTTAGAAATATGGTGACTCCAGGAGAGGGTTTGATCAATAAATAGTCCTAAATTTTTTACAGAGGAGTAGAAGGAGATTGGCTGGTCACCAAGGTTTAGTATGGGAAAGTCGGTACAGGATCTAAGGAGGGGCTTGGAACCAATGACAATGGCCTGAGTTTTTGAAGCATTTAACCTTAATCCGTTTAAGTTTGCCCAGGCACAGATTCGATCTAGGTCTGCTTGGATCTTAGTAAATGCTACCAATAGCTCAGAGAGAGAAAAGGATAGGTATATTTGAGAATCGTCTGCATAAAGGTGGTGGGAACAATGGAGAATTGAGTCATGGAGGTCATTAATATAGGAACTAAAAAGGAGAGGGGATATGTTAGATCCTTGGGCAACTCCAGAGGATAAAGGCAGGTAGGCAGATAGTGGTTGATTAGGAATGGAGAGTGCTTGGGTGCGTTGTGAGAGAAAAGATTGGAACCAAGAGATGGAGCTATTGGAGAAGGAGAGTGATTTTAGTTTGTTGAAAAGGATGGGATGGTTAATGGAATCGAAGGCTTTAGAGAAGTCAAGAAGTATAAGGACAGTTAATTGTTTATTATCTATTGCAGTCTGAACATCATTGGTAATTTTGATTAAGGCGGATTGTGTGGAGTAGCCGGGGCGGAAACCAGATTGGAGAGGATCAAGTTGGTTGGACTTTTCGAGGAAATTGGAAACTTGGGATTGCGCCAATCTTTCTAGGGGTTTTGAGAGATTGGAAAGAATTGAGATTGGGCGAAAGTCTTCGGGAGAGGATGAATTAGGGTTTTTATTTAAAGGGAGTACAATGGCTTTTTTCCAAGAGGAAGGGAATATTGAGTTCTGTAGGAAGAAATTGTTTGAAAATAATAAACCATTGTGTACTGATTTGCAAAGTTTTTTTTAAATTAATTTTATAAATAAGAAAAATGAATTACCATCTTTGTTTATTTTAGAAGCATTTTTAATTAATTTATTTTGTTATATAATTTACAGGCGCAACGTGGAAATCCCGTCCAGTTGTTCATGGTTCAAACGTGAACCGGCGTTCCTCCCGAGGTTTGCACTGCAATATGCTTTCGACTATTTGGTGTCAATCCGCTATCATGATGAAGGTGGCCGTTATCCAGCAATTACGCATCCTCATCTGTTAGCTGATGATCTTTGGCTTTTTGCGAATGAATCTAAAACAATAATTAAGAAAAGTCCCAAAAAAGATAATATATTTAGATACTTCAATATAATTGTTCTTATTGCAGAAGTTTGGTATAATAATGTATGATTTAACTTCGTTTCTTATTTGTATAAAGAGAAAATATATATATATATATATAAATATAAATTTCCACTATCAATTTTATATGCTGCAGGCGAAATATGTAATAAGAATAGAGCTTTTGTCATTTTTAAATATATATTTTATTTTTTAATTGGTGTTGTCAATCTGGTTTAATTTTATAACTCCATTTATGGTTGGAAGAATTATGCTACAATGAGCAATATCTTGTTACCCAATATAGATGTGTGTGCCACAAATAAATGAAAAGATGACGAAAATCGATATCCTCCGGGCATAAGATTTGTTTTAGAAAAGACTAATAACAAGGTACAATAGTGGTAAGTTGTGGCCCTCGTAATATAATATACTGCTAAAAAATGAATAGCGATGTTATTAGTTAATTATAATTTATTTTTCCTATATATATATATATATATATATATATATATATATATATATATATATATATATATATATATCACTGTAAAATATATTTAAAATAAGATTGTATTTGTTCTCGGGAAGTTTTATAAAAGGTATTTTTAAAAAAATAATAAAAATCAAAGTTTTTGTAACCTTACTGTAATGGTTGGGAATTGGAAGAATTTCGTAAAATTTAATAATTTGTGTAATATCCTTTGTTACGCAATACCTCTCTGCACACTGATTTCACAAGCAATTTCATACTATATACATGGTAATACTGCTCTCAGTTTCTTAACCTACAGAGGCTGCGGATAGTGGCGGATAGTGGTTAATAAGACTTCTCTGCAGTTCATCCCACATGTGCTCAATGGGATTGACATCTAGACACAATATGGAACAGGGCAGATGTGAAATGTCCACATTTTCAAGACATTGATGAACAACATTTCTCCTATGAGGTCACGTATTATCGTCAAGAAAATGGATATCTGTGCTAATTGTGGCCCTGGTTTGAGTAATGTAGTTTTCTCTTATTTCTATAACATAACGAACTGCAATGAGATTACCTTCCGCAGTGTGGAGTCGAGTCCATTCTCCTAAATAGATTCCGGCCCATATGCTGGATTATCGTCCCTATGGAATTTCATCCCCTCCTGCTTCCATCATTCTAATAACCTACCCACCTTTAAATCCTGCATATTAAATCACTTTCTATCCATCCAGTTCCCAAACAATTGTCAATAGCTTATTATGTAAATATGTTTAATAATAAAAGGCTTAGCGAACCTGAAGGTTCGATGCCAACAACTTAAACTTCCCACCTTCGCTTCAGTCTACCCCTCGGACGTTTACCATTAGGCACAGCAAATATTAACCTTTTAGGAATTCTTTCGTTACCAAACCCAAGTTTACAAGGCCATTTGATTCGCTGCGATGTAATCACCTCAATCATATTAACCGAATACAGCTCACCCAATTCAGCGTTGTGTAACCGTCTGAACACCCCCGTTAACTCATCCTTCTTCTGTCCGAATATTCTTCGAAATGCCTTAAGCCGTTGCTAGTCCCTTAATGTAAACGGCACGTTTCGCATCCATAAAGAACTGTAGGTAAGATAATGGTTTTATAGATTCTAGTACTTAAGATCCAGAACAAGCGGTGAGAGCTAAGTATTTTTGTCACAGAAAAATAACAAGCATTTCCCGCCTTCAGCCTAACCTTAATCTCCTTATCAATTTCGTTTTTTTCTAGTTATCGTATACCCTAGATACCTAACCTTCTTTACGTGTTCAAACATATTACCTTCTATGTCGATTACACCGGCAATATCGCCATTTTTGCAGCCAACCATATATTTTGTCTTATCCGTGTTTATATCGAACCCTAGTTCTTTCCAGCTTCCAGTAACGTTGTCGTATTTAGTTTTATAGTTTCTGTGTCTTCCCATAACAGGAACAGATCATCCGCATAGCCAAGCATAGTTGTTGTCCCACCCAGATCTTCGGTACGCATTAACTCTCTAATGGAATGTTCTAATGCCACATGGAACAGGACATGTAAACATGTATGTAAATATGTCGAAACATGTATATAAATTATTATTTTGTTCTTAAGTATCCTTTTTAATTCATTGATGTTAGAAGTTAACTTATATATTTTTAATATTTCTATTTATTTGGTTTCTTATTTTATTTTTAAATCTATCAGGCTCTAAAGCCCATAATTATAGTGTACTATTCTGAAGGAACTTGTCCCAGAATAAATAGAGCACATTATAATCATTGTTACTAATATATAAGTCTAGTCACGTATATAATAATAATTAAAAATATATGTAATATTGAAATGCCAATATCGAAATTCGATATCGCATTTATATTTAATTAAATAAAACTATTTAACCTTTTACACGCCGCCCTCTAATTTCAGTAGAAATATGGACGAATGGAGTGCTGTACTTTTTACAGATGAGTCAAGATTCGCTCTTCGATCTCCAGACGGGCGTGAAAGGGTGTGGAGAAGAAGAAACGAAAGATATGCAGCCTGTAATTTTTCTCAGAGCCAACCTTTCCAACGTGGTTACTTAATAGTGTGGGCTGGGATTTCAATGGAGCGCCGCACAGAATTGGTTCTTGTTCGTGGAGGGTCTTTGACGGCCATTCGCTATGTAGATGAGATTTTGGAACCTCATGTGTTGCCTATCCTCAACGAAATCGGCGATCGTTCTATTCTAATGCACGATAATGCACGCCCACATGTCGCCCGCATAGTGCAGACGTTCCTTCAACAGAACAATATTGAGGTTTTAGCCTGGCCAGCACGTTCTCCAGATTTGAACCCCATTGAGCATTTATGGGATAACCTCGGAAGACGAATAAGAGCGCGTGCAACACTTCCTGATACACTGCAGGACCTTGAAAGGGCTCTTCGGGAGGAATGGGCTATCCTCCAGCAAAGGGACATTTCCCGACTGGTGGAAAGTATGCCGAAGCGTTTTCAAAGAAGTAATGAAGGCAAGAGGAGGAAACACGGCCTACTAAACGATGATTTAATTAATTTCTTTTAGAATAATAATAGTTCGTTTTTCAATTTTTTTTTCTCTAATCTTTCTTACCCAATCACATTTTGATTATTAAAGGTAAATAAGATTATAAAATTCCATAAATACTAAGTATTATCTACAAATGCCATGTATTATATACAAATACAACTTTTTTTTACAAGTTGGTGAAATATTTTTAGATGAAAACATGAAAAAATCAAGTGGGTGGAAGTTTTTTATTTTTTGCCTGTCAGTGTATATGTTCCACTTCTGAAACAATGACATGTAAAATGTTAAAACAATTTTTGATATACGTTCACTTATGTTAGAGTATTTAAATATTTATATTTTCTAAACAATATTTAACTAATAATTGTATATAGAAGTGAACTACTACGTAAAAAATGTAAATGCAAACCTTACCGATTCCTAGTAAATTGTATTCTATGTCATGAGAACATGTTAAGCGTGGTGGTTTTTGTGTTTTAACTACCTTAAATTCATAACTTAGACAATATCATTAGTTTATTGCAAAAAGTCATTAGGTAACATTTTCGATTTTGAAGTTTCTGGTTCATTAAAAATGTTGGGGAACGAAATGAAGTTAGTTTTATAATATGTTGAAGGTAATTTTTGTCAATATATGTTCGAAAATGAAGAATTTAAAATTTCAATATTTTATTTCTCATAATTACTTCTTATTCCAGTCGGTTATAGTGGCAATTAAAATAGCAAAGCAAACAGTGGCAGCTACAGGTGCAACAAAACTTATCTCCAAATTTTCAATGTTTATGAAATTTATGTAGATGTTTCATTGATTTGACAAGTGTTTTGGTAAGGTAAGAAGTATTTTTATAAGATGGATCCAAGAAAAATATAACAATATCTATATTTCTGTTTCAACACGGAAAAGTTCAAGGAAATTTCCTTAAGCATGTTAACTTGAGGTGCATTTACCCTAAATATCGTTTAATATTGAGGATAAATATATTATACTTATATCGATACCTTTGGCCTACATCGATATCTATTAGAAATATGGCAACTTGCTCGATATCATTAGCTCACTGCTGCTGTCGCTCAGGTACGAACTCACACTACCTTCCGATTTAGGATTGGGGGGGAAGATATCTTATCATCAACAGATTTTTATCATGTTGTATAGGTGATATCAGTTGAACAGCAGTTGAGGCACTGCTTTGGTCCCTAATGAAGCTTTACTCTCCTATTCACGTATTCTTATAATTCTTGGAAAATTAAGTATTCGAAATTAAACCGTAAAGTGGGGTAACTTTGGAACAACTGGTAAAATTTAGTTTGTGGTGAATACACTGTGCTACAACCTGGCGGCATACAACTCTCGAGGCACAACCGAAAGTTTTATGAAGACAAGAATTAAAAAAAAAAAGGAATGAAAATAAATAAAACCTAACAGCACAAAAAAATGTAGTGAACTAGAGTTCTCAAACTGCCGCAAGGTAGTAGCGTAGTACATGCCTACACAAACCACGATTTTTGCTGAGAAAAACTGTATTAAACTAACATTTTAGCGGGTAAAATCTAAAAAATATATAAAGTGTCAAAAAGGAACAATAACGAAATTTTGCATTATTTATGTCAGGTATTAGAAACGCATATATTATTAAATAATCAAAAACAGTTTTTGAAAATTTTAATCTGTAGTTGTTTCTGCAAAAAACAACATATTTTTATCCTTTTTCTTAAATGATAACCACATGGGCAATGATTTTATGTTATTACTTCTGAAATAAATAACCTTCATATCATTTAACTTAAAAAGGGTAACATAATTTAATACATTAGATTTTTAAAAACAAAAACGAAATATATTTTGTCAATTGTTTGTCACATGCTCCTTGCCATTCCCATACTCTAACATTTTCTCTTTTCTATATGATCTGATCTGATCATCTGATCATAGCCCAATTTTACTACAACTATCAAAACATCCTATCGCAAAATCTAAACACCTACAACTAATTAATGGCTTCATAAACTGGGATGACTTTCAACATTACTTGAACAAAAAATTTAATAAAATACTTCCATTACTACAGCCGACGAACTTGGCCATACAGCCAACGACTTTACAGAATGCATACACAATGCGATTTGGCATTCAACTACACAAATGAGGTAACTAACCAAAATAGATACTTACC